GGGGGGGGGGGGTCACTCATTATCACTCCCACATCATTATTGTGCATTCAACAATCATTAACGCTCTCACATCATCATCATCATCATCATATCATCAGCAGCAGCAGCAGCAGCAACATCATCATCATCATCAACAACAACAACAACAACATCATCATCGTCATCAGCATCAACATCATCATCATTAACATCATCATCATCATCATCATCATCATCATCAACAACAACAACAACATCATCATCGTCATCAACATCATCATCATCGTCATCAGCATCAACATCATCATCATTAACATCATCATCATCAACAACAACAACAACATAATCATCATCATCATCATCAACATCATTATCATCAACAACATCATTATCATCAACATCATTATCATCAACATCATCATCATCATCATCTGACATACACAACATCAACAACATGTAATCCGTAATGATACAAATGTCAATAATACATACATAGACATTTATATAAATTATATTGATATGCATGTTTACGTCACTCGTGCCTTATTTGTCTCCAAAATATATCCTGCAAATTTACGAAGATCGCTGATATTGTCAACACTTAGTAACTGTACAAGTGTATACATTGAAGGATTTCGCCAGTAATATGGTTTTACGTATTTTACTCTCAGAATATGATAATTTCTGCATATCAAAATAAAATGATATTCGTCTTCTAAATCTGAATTGCAGCTCATACAGTGTCTTTGTTCTCTCGTTGTGTTATTGTATCTACCAGTCTCCACTGGTCGTATCCAACGTCATATCTCCGAGGAATTGAAAGTTCAAATACACCGCTTACAGCACGAAAGTGCGCGAATGGTTTCTAATATACTGACACCGTTGCTCCGAATTTTAACAGAAAGCCCAAGAAAAATAGATAAATAAATAAAAAGTACCCATACTCTATCACTTGACACCGAAACAGAGGGTAGAGTGGAGATCATATTAGAATATTCAACTGCGTGAAATGCAGGAAACGGTACACGCAGTATATACTTTGGTGTCGTTATTTTGTTCTTTTTCCTTTATTTTATGGACGGGTATTTCAAAACACGGGGAAAGCATGTCATCTTTTTTTTAAATACGAGCTTCAAGATCAGGCTCTCAGCTTTTCATTGGTATACGATATGTGCGTCTGCGATGCTGGAATAATATTTTACAATGATTGTAATTTGAAAATAAATCGCCTCACAGAAGATATAGTTTCCAGATCGTCTCATGTCACATGAATTGATGACGTCATAAACAATGCCGAGCGTGATGTCAAAATTCGTTAAAAGCCGAGCAGCCCAGATCGGTCCTGTGGAAATCAACGTAAAAATCAGATCGGCCCAAATCGGCCCTGTGGCAGTCCAAGGTTTAACTGCTAGATGTAACTACACAACACACATATTTTTTTTTAAAGATCTTGTTATTCATATGTCGTACAAGTAATTCCGCAGTACTTTTAGTACAATGTACACAGTCTAGTTGAGGTTATATGAACGAATTTAATCAATATGGATATTTAAATTAACACGTCAAGGAAATGTTAGTCCTGAAAAATCAAACACACAATACAATTGTGAATTAGAAGTTATTTATTCATTTATTTATTTATTCCTTTTTTTTCTTTTTTTTCAGCTTTTAAAATTTGAAATTTCGAGGATGGGATACATTTTTTACATAATACAAGTATTGAAAGTGAACCCTATTTCTTTATAACATCCCAAATATTCTCTTGATTGAGAAAAAAAAGTTGGGGTATATATTTTCTTACTTGGTACTTGAAATGAATCACTGTGCTATACATATTAGTTCAGAAAACAATGGGCAATGCATGGATTTATGTAAATTCGTAATAAACGTTATCGAATTTTGGATGTGAATTTCACTGTAAAAACAGTCCTTCATATACATCAGTGCTTTATTGAATTGTATGTGTAAGGTGTAATGTATGTGATCTAAATGTAATGGAGAATACTGATGTTGCTGTCATTATTGAGTCTTGTTAGGTTTACCGGTATAAATATGCAAGTCTGTCTCAGCTTATGAATAATAAGACGTTTTGGGCCATGTTGCTACGTTGCTTCAATTTTATCTCTTACGCGCTTATAAATGGTTTTGTTGGTGAAGGGGGCGGGGAGGTCTAGAATCCCAGGAACTTCATCACTCTCGCCCCACACGTGCACCACCACCGCCATACCTAAACTTCCTAATATGGTTACGTCTTTAAAACTATACTCAGTTCTTAGACCGTTCTTGCTTTTTCCTGGCAAATAAACCAATAAAAGAAGTGGGTCATAGAAATTGCGAAAGTGTGATGGGAGTTGTTTATTTTCCGAATTAGCTGTTTTATTCGCCTCTGACTGAACCCATCATTTAAGGTCAAGATTGATATAAGTGTTGCAAATGACATGCGCTGTGCGAATTATTTGTGTCGATGTCGATAGGTTCGTTACCTATTCATCTAAACAACAACATACATGTCATGCCGGCAATGCACGCACGCGATACCTCAGACAGTGACTAAAAGTACGGAAGCTTGTGAGAACCACATACACGTGTTAGTCTGTGTCGACCACAAGCTTGGACCATTGTAACGTGGGATGAATTTTGTACAGAGGTACGCCATAATCTGTTTAATTTTACTGAGACTTTAATTTGGTTGCAAATAATTGAAATTCAATTTTCAACTAAAAAAAAGCATTAGTATATTTAATATTATCCCTAGGAAAGTACCTGTAATTAACTTTTTCAACCCAACGACTCGATTACAAAATTAAAAAAGTGTGGCAGATTTTAAGTATACTGTACATAGGATTACGGTCGTCTTCTAGCTTCTAACTAGAGGGAATTTCAAATCGAAAAAAAATTCGTAAGAATATAAATCGGTTACATACATATTCCATAAAGACCAATATATACAAAATGAATGTAACCAATTTGCGTTCATACCGGTATGAACATACCATTCAACCCTTATGTTTACATTCTAAATATTTGGTTATTTATAGATATTCCCTTACATTTTCGAAATTTGAAGTGTCTGTGTTGTCAGCGCAAACAATATTTCTGGAACAGCCCAGCGCAACCAAAATGTTTGATTCTAATGGTTGTTTCATGTTAATCGAGGCGGGAGGAGAAGCTTCAAAGTGATACCGATCGAATTGCGTTCACAGCTCAATACACCCAATTTTTCCTAGTAATAATCATAGAGGAACTTATAGTGGAAATGTAAACTTATGTGTATGTCTATGTTCTAGTATTTGCACGCGTATATTTTATAAGGTACTCAATCACAGAGACACGTGCTGACGTTGTGCACGTACTTCAATATCTATCATTACAAGCACAATATAGCTCCAATTTGAAAAACAAAAAGAAAAAAAATCATGGTTACTCGACTGGTTGCATTGCCGACTAGTTCTCTCCAAGGCATTTGAAAAACGCTATCATAGAAAATTTTCGTTTTTCAAACACAAACAATATACTTGTAATTTGATTATTTTTCCTCAATGCGATCAGCGTTCTTCTTCAATGAAGATAAATGTGTTTTTGCAGAAAACGATCAACAACCAGTTAGTAGACCATTGGAGTCGAAAATACAATACTAACTTATTGTCGACCTATTCCTGCCATAGGTAGGTCTTGTTGTCAACCAAATTCATCTCCAAAACAGCTGCTTAACACTGCCATAGACCAAATTTCGTGTTTATTTATCATCACAATCATTAAAAAAAATGTGTATTTCATTGTTGTTATTTTAATAAAAAAAAACTTCATACGCTGTATATTTTTCTCGTTCACAACATATTTACAGTACCAATCATTGTTCTTAATCAATGAAGATATACGTATCTTGGCGAGAAAAGATCGACAACCAGTTAGTATGGTATTTTCGGCTACAATGGTCTTCCATAGATGACGCGCCCTGCTGAGCTGCACGTGCGACAACCAGTCTATAGTCACTGTTTATACGGGAACACTGCCGGTCCTCTTACAGTAAGCAACCATGTTCCCAAGGAATCTGCGGTTTTTCCTGAAGCTGATAGTAGTGTTAGCCTGGTCATCGATGGTTGCCTGGGTAATTAACACACATCGACCCACCTTCACTGGAGATGGTCGACTGTTGGTCAACTCGCCATTAATGTAAGACACAGTCCTTGATTTCATTATTACCAAAGAGACTTGAGAATTTGTTACAGCTATATTTGGACCTTAACTAAGATGTTCATATTTATTTTACTTGTATTCGATAAAAATGACACCCTCATATCATCAGATCATTGGGGCGTCATTTTTACCGAAAATCGGTCTAAACCCTTAAAACATGTGAAATTACTCTGAGCACCATAGTTTAGGTTCAAATATAGCTGTAACAAATTATCAGGTCCCTGTGATTATTATTTCCGGTGGTGAGTCGAGACTTTTTTTTCACCAAATTTTACAGGGCATACATCGCCTTATGCTGTTTTGAAAGATACATACAGGCATTTCAGATTTCAATCTCATGGTACAAGTGTAGTTATTTATACATGATTTTATCGATGTGTTTCTGTACCATTAATGTCTGGCGAACATAAAATTCAAATCGAAGACGGATTTACCTCTCTCTCTCTCTCTCTCTCTCTCTCTCTCTCTCTCTCTCTCTCTCATATCTTAAAAATAATGATGAATAAAATAAAGTACACTTCAGACACTGAAAGAATATTTATAATAAAAAGCACCCAATTGCATTATACATTTTCGACTTGTAATATTTCAGGGAACCCGGATATGGTGGAGATAGCAATTCCGCTGTTAAGCGAAACTGGAAAAGTAGCAATGTCGCCAATTTAGCCAACAGAAAACGGAAGAATGAATTTGGTCCGAAAGGTAACAATGCTGGAAATTATCGACAGAGTTTCTCTGATATAATTCAGGAATTCGGCATTTCTTTGTTCAAAGACACCGACCCAAGCCGTTTTTTCATCAACGTCAACAAATCTCACGCGACTCCTGTGTCTCGTGAGGTTCCGGCTACACGTTCTGCTGAGTGTGCTTCGGTTCTGTATGATAATGCTACACTTCCGGTAGCATCCATAGTGATACCGTTACATAATGAGCCATGGTCTACATTCGAGAGACTTATAAACAGTATCCTGAAGAATTCGCCTCCACCACTTATTCATGAAATCATCATCATAGATGATTTGAGTAATTTGGAACATTTGGGAGCCCCATTGGATAAGTATGTGGCACAGTTCGATTTTATGCAAATACACAGAGCGCATGAAAGACTCGGGTCGATGAAAACAAGATTTGTAGGGACCTCGATTGCAACAGGGGAAGTGGTTGTTTTCTTGGACTCGCATACAGAGGTCAATATCGGTTGGTTGGAACCATTACTGTACGAAATTGACAAAGACCGCAGGACTATTATCCAGCCTTCTATCGACTTGGTCGACCCAGAAACATTTCAATACAGGCGGTACTTCGCAAATGACATGAGAGGTCATTTTCAGTGGAGTATGGCGTACAGTTTTGTACCATTAACACCAAAGCAAAAAGCGGAAGTTGCAGCCAAACCGACGAAAGCTTTCAACACCCCAGCCATTGTGGGCTGTGCTTTTGCTGTCAATCGGAAATACTTTCTTGATATCGGTGGTCTTGACACGGGCATGCGTATATGGGGCGGAGAAGATGTAGAACTCTCTATTAGAGTGTGGCTCTGTGGCGGAAGTATGAAAATCTCACCATGTTCTCACGTTGCCCACATTTTCAAATCAGGACATCCATTCAAAATGGATTACTCCGATCTTATACACAACAACAGGCGGACAGCGGAGATGTGGCTCGGTGATTACAAGCGATATTTCTATTATTTCAGCTCTGCACTTGCCCAAAGCGCAGAACCATCTGAAAAGTTTGACGAAATGGATAAAATCAAACAGAAATTTAAATGCAAAGGTTTCGATTGGCTTCTCCAAAACGTTTACCCGGAACTTGAAGTCCCTCCAGAGGGCAGCGAACATTTCGGACACCTTCGTAACCTTGGTTCCGGTTATTGTTTCGGTCCTTCGGAAAACCGCGTTCTCGGAGATAATCCTATTATAGTAATAGGCGATTGTTTCGCATACTATAAAGTACGTAACTTTGCATTACTTGGAAACGGTCAACTTAAGATGGACGGGAAATGTATTGAAGTCGACAGAGACTATTTAATTGTGACACCATGTATAACCGGAAGTGGAAGATGGGACATGAAACAGAAATTACTCGTCTATGCTGATGACGATGGCTCCTCTAAGTGTGTCGGGCAAGTTGTAAAAACAATTAATTTAGTTGAAACTGCGGTAGCTATGACACTGTCCTGTACTGATTATGAACTGAAATATGTTGAATGGGAGATTGGTACCAAATTGTCCAAAATGGAGGAATCGTGGGCAAAAGCATAGCCAATATCTTCATTGATTGTGAAATACTAACGTAATTATACGCTAAATATATTCAATTTTGTGTTTTATTTTTTCTCTTTTTGTTTTAGCGACAGAAGCATTATAATTGTTCACATACTGATACCTATAAGCGATATTATTCATAACTAGGAGTTTATTTCTATCTCATTATAACTAATCAGAAATATTGAAAATTACACCTCATTTTATGTGTGACGATAACTCGTTTTAGACCCTCTAATAAGGCCAAAAAAAAGATACCTATGTTTCCCGTTTCCCGACCGACCCTATTTTTTCAAGCCAACCCTAATACATTTTATTGTTTTATTTACAGTCACTGTAATGCATGTATTAGCCGTTTAATTGTTCAAAGTGTACATATAATTTGTTATGTACTTTATTAGTGTGGTCAGTGTCCGAGTTTTATTTGAAGGTAGTAGCTAAGTAGCCGTAGATATTTGTGGTTATGGTATAGGTTGGGATCTCTAGATTAGTGGGACTGTCTGTAGTCTAGGTTGGGGGTCAGTCTGTGATGTCAGCTGATGCTGACCACCAGAGTCAAATTTAGCAGGATTTATGGCCAGTTTTTAACAGGATTTCAGCAGCATCAACAATTTTAATGAATCAACATTTTTATTGTAACAGGATTTTGCTAAGGCACAGATAGTAAGGTAGTTCAGCGTGGGAGTTGAAGGAGAAGAGAGTTGGGTTGGGGTCTTTAGGAAAGAGGTTTAGTTAGGGAGACCCAGTTGAGAGGTCAAGAGATATAGAGGAGAGTTAGAAAGTGAGAGTAACGTGAGAATTAGGAAGTGAGTAATAATAGTAGTTTTTGCTGTAGTTTGTATATCTATGCAGTTTTACAGTTTATAGTTGGAGATAATTCAGTTTGAAGTGGAGAGATTGAGTTCACAATAGTGAAGACTTGTATAGTTTATGACAGATTAAAAAACTTGTGTTGTAGATATAGTGTAAAATATAAGTATACTTATTTTGTTGTTCAGTTAATTTGAACTGGAGGCAGTGGAAATCGAGAACAGAAAGTATCAGTAATACAAAAGAGAACATAACACTGGTGACCATCAGTGGAGTTTGGATTACTAAACACTAGTGTCCAGCTGTAGGGATAATTTAGAAATGTAGCATTGATGGTAGCAATACTGTAAATTATGGTTTGTTATTCCATAATCATTTAGATGGGTAAAATAATAATTTACTTCAGTGTGTTGTTTGAGCCTGCTCAACACAAAAATTGTGAATGCATTTGTGTATTTATTTTACATGAATCAAAAATTATATATTTGGTGCCTTTCATACTTAATTAAAACAATAACATATTGTTAACATTCACGAAGGTAATCAGGAGATTTTCTTAACCAAAAAAAAATTAATGTTTTTCCTACCATATTTTTTGGAGCCGAAACAGGAAACACCAATATTATTTTTATTTGGCCTAAGATGTGTCGTAATGTATATCGTCAGTAATTGCTTTTATCCCCTTGGAGCCCCATTTAAGTTTGTAGGATGACACACATCCTCGTTCGACACCGAAACACCGTTTTTAACATGCGAGTACTATGGAAATCCCTTTGGGCCTTTTCCGTCTTGATGAAGCTTGCCGGAAAGGGCCGAACGATTTTCCGATTGTTGTGGACTGTTGACCTTGTACCTGACGTTACTATGTCTGTACCCTATAGTCAGTAAATAAGCACGCCTATTATACCATTATAGTTTATCAATTTTCGGATATTGCTTTATGCAAATATTTGTCCATCTGTTGGGTTCCCTGCTTATAAATATAAATATTGATTAGCCCAAAAGTATTGTCAGTTTTCAAGCATATCGTTATTCGCCATAGGTTGTGTTATATTTATGACCGATGATTCATCTGAAAGCATATATCAAATTATGACATTTGAGCATAACAAGGTGTCGATTTGAACGTTTAACATAGTGTGCATGCTAACATGTAATCCAATGTCTGTCCGTTTAGTTGGCATGGACTGTACAGCAAATATCGTTGGTTAGCAAACCTCTCCGTTTCCCAGTATAGCTGTCGGTGATCGCCAACTTCCGTCCTGAACAAAGCGATGAACTCTTATTCCACAACCTTGATAAACAATGTCTACTGAATCAAAATCAATCATCTTTTCAATATGTCGGATGTTGACAACATTTAAAAAAAATAAAGATTAAACCAGACAAATGAGCAAAGGGTATTGATATAATTCAAGTTACCCTTGAAATTAAAAATGAGTTATTGATTTTCAGTTTATTTCAACATAATTTACATCAATGCATAAACGGATCTATAGCATACAAACTGTATATGATATTATAGAGAAGAGCCATTGCGCTAATTGACACTCTTCTGAATCTACATTTACCAGCAGAACAGGAATAAGTGATGTGGTATAGGGTGGATACATGTATACTTTCAAATGATGGGGTTCGCAGGTTTTATCTTGACCCAACTTGTACTTCGTTTATGAAATTCAAGGGTTCTACTCTCGAAATACTTATCTTCTCTACTAAAGATACATTTGTAAGTGCATGGTGAGCGGAATTCTTGGATTTCGAAGAGTGCGTTTACAGTTGTTATACCCCATATTTGTATAAACGTATCTGATTAGGTGATATCGATCACATAAAAGGACAATAAAACAGCAGTGCATTCACACACGCTCGAGTTTCCCCGAAACTTGCATGCATAAGTGCCACCAAAACTGAGTTCCGAATGACTGAAGCAGACGACGACAATAGCGCGTCAACCAGATCATTCTTACTTTTGGAATATTGTTTTATTTCGGCATAATGGAATATTTATCTTCCTTGTGGTAGGGAAACACGATTATTTGTTTCTCTTTCGTTAATCATGTTTATCTCGGGCTTCTCCCTCGTGAAACCAGATTAATTACGGAGAAACAAAGAAACGTTTTCCCCTACAGTAAGGGCTATAAAACTAAATCTATTATATATACGACAACGACACTATCTTCTCTTCTCTGTCCACTCAATGAGTCGTATAAGTACAAAGAAAAAATGACAGCAGTTTGATGAAATGCTCTTTGTATAAAAACTGAAGCTGAAATAGTTTCCTTTTTATTTTGACACAAATCTGTAAAACAAAACAAATCTTTTGCTTTTGATATTTCTCGCTGACGTTTCTTCACTCGCTTTCTTATCTTTAACAATATTGCTTTAGTTTGTAAAATGTATCTCTTTGATTTTATTAATCACTACACACACAGGGCCATAGGACTTAAAGCCCTAATCCGTGACTAGCTCACCGTTGAAATGGATTTAAAATGTCCGCAAACGTTACCAGACTACCGAGATCTGAGACACATTCGTGCACAGTGTCTTTCTACATGTATCACAGGGGCTTGTAACAAAATAAAAAATTATATACGAACACTCATAAAATGGATTTAAAATTTCCTCAACCGCTACCTTACTCTGAGACACATTCGTGCTCACAGCGATTTTCAACACATATCACAGGGGCTTGTAACATATATATATATATATACTGTATACGAACACGCATAATGTCAAGCACTATGGATGATCGTATTTTTTATTTTTATATATTTGTTGCAAGCCCCTGTGTGCAGATTACCACGTTTATATGCACATATAAATGTCCACTTATATTAATCGCCTTTACTACGTTTCAGTTTCGTAAATGCTGTTTAGAACCAGATATATTAGAGAGGTCACTGATTCCGTATAACGAAAGTCTCGCCTAAGGGTCAAAAGGTCAGGACTTATACAAGCCAAATGAATTTAAATTACATGTAATTTAAAACTGAGGTTCATGTACTTACAAAGTTTTAAAGTTCCAACACACAGTATTTAATAAATATAACTTATTTTTATTGTCGTATTTATCTTAACTAAATTCATAATGTAGATAGAACAAAACTCAAAAACACAATACATTTATCAATATAGCACTATATCTTTTTTATATAAAAGTTTTAAGTAATCAAACGTATGTATAGATAGGAACAACAGACGTGTATGGTTAAACCAGACATAAAGTAACACAGACAGAGTTATTAACCAAATACAGTGTAATGGTGTATATTGATTTAACACCCGACCCCCCCCCCCCCCCAAAAAAAAAAAAAAAAAAAAAAAAGTGGATAAAAACACTTTTGTTAATTAGCTGTTCAAATCACGTCTCCGGGTCCATTCTACTACACGACACACATCCGTACATTACACCGATGACACTCGTACATCGTAACTGCGGGAACTTAATTATATTGGGCCATAACATTTCAAAGTTATAAATCGTTTGGACATTTGAGCTACAAGGATCCGATAATTTATTCATTTGGTATGTTTGGACTTACCCTGAGGTGTTGAGAGTACATGTAATATCACACGTGTTATGGGTTGGATAAACTCTCAGTAAAAATGCTAGGGTGGTCGGCTGGTGCAGTGGATAGCGCATTTGCCTTTCATCAAGGCGGTCTGGGTTCGATTCCCCGATCGTACGTTAAAAGGTGGGGGTCACCTACCCGAACACGTGGGTTTTCTCCGGGTACTCCGATTTCCTCCCACACTAAGCACCCCCGCCCCCACACGCTAATATCCGGGCAAGAGTGTGATTAATATAAGTTGAAATAAGTTGTTTCATAATTGTTGTAAAACAAATAAATTTATATTTAAAAATGCTAGCCCTGATGATGCCATTGTTACCGAGAATTGAACTCGATTGAGATCAGTTGGTATATAAGGTATTTTGCTAGATCTGTAACTACTGTACAGGCCTGCAGATTATTGTCTGTAATAAATAAGTGACCGAATATAATGTTACACCAAACCGAAAAAGACAAACAAAACACAACATATACAAATCGTACAAAAGTATGCATAGTAATAATTCTATATATATCTCTCTTCCATTTCCAGAAAACTTTCTGCGTCCGACGCTAAATAAGTGATCAGCAAACATGTCTTATGGTCCGGAAAATTAATTTCCTGGTCAACATTAGTACCTTTTTTGTCCGGAAAAAAACACCATGATCCAGACTTAAAACACTCGGGTCTCCTTCTCTGTATACATGTACGTTCGTTTGGACAAATTTAAATATTATTAAAAAAAATCACACGTTACACTTCCAAATTTATATAAAATTCTAACATCAATATGACTTACTCCCCATCACGTAATTCCCTATAGCTCTTCCATCAACTGTCCTGTACGTTCAGTGGCTCACCGATGTGACGGTGTCTTCGATTTCCACGGCGATATCGACGCGCTAACTGCTTCACACAATTCAAATGTTTTAAGAAATGATCCGAACCTAGCGCATCCGACGCTAAAAGATCGGAAACGGGAACCTGCACGTGGTGATATGTCCGTCCTGTTGATGGGGCACTTGACGCTGAATCAGAAACGTCACGCGCACGTGGCCGATAACTATGATTGGTATCTTCCTTAAGTTTAAACCTTGTTCTCTTGGTTTTAGTTTTTTTCTTCTGCTTATCATCCTCCGACGGTTTAGGATCTGGTAAATCCGGTACTTTTTCCCGACTTTTGGGAGGGAACATTTTATTTCGTAGTTCCTGATACTGTTGTTCTAGGCTCTCGTGCTCAGCCGTACTTCCGTCAATGGTAGCCGCCTGGAGGAATTTCAACATCCGGGGACTCCCTAGGGAAGAGGATGTGCTGTGTCGACTTCCTCTGCTGTCACATCGGTGTCGATTCAAATATAACTGCTCTCTGAGTCTGGCAGAGTTTAAATTGTCGATCATTTCCTGGCGTGTTTTCTGAACTTTCTCCATCCAGGACGGGAGATAGGCTGCTTGGCTGGGCGAGGTGTGAACGGTGATGTTATATCGGCGGAAAGATGTTGTCCTTCTCGGTTGGAGCTGCAAAGTAGGGTGCGACCGCTCGTTTGGGTGCATGGAGGACATTTCACCCCCAATCACTATCACGTGGTACTACAACATTGGTCAACCGGTACAGACTGCATATAATTACATTGATACACTGCAGTTGTCCGTCTATTCAGTTCACATGTATGACGTTCTCTTAAAAGTATAAGTAGCTCTTAAAACGATTAACTATTTGTATATGTGCGCGTGTACGGGATAACTATTAATCGCTTTTGTTTCCTAATCCAATGAACGGACGAAACTGAGGTAAAATTAATCACAGCTTTTAATTAGTCCAATTATTGACCTTCTACTACACACAGATAGTTTACGAGTGTATTTAAGGTAATCCAACAGCCGACAAAACGTTAGTACTTTCGTACAGAATTCATTGTTCAGCAATTATCACAGTCTCCATGAATTGACCTTAAGTATTCTACCACATTGTCCATTTACGCGACCAGCACAGACCCAATATGGCCCGTTACCCGCGATCGTTTGTGTTGTATAATGTGTCTTTTGCTATTTGATAGCACACTCTTATCCGGGTAACTATAATACACTATTTGCACTGTCGCCACCGGTCACAAATACATCGTAAATTGATTTCCCAGCCTAGCACTCGGAGAAATAAAACTGGTCCACACCAGAATCCAGTGAAAACCCGGGTAGCAAAACACAGGTGAAAATCCAGGTGAAAACACATCATCTGGTTAATGCAGCTTTTATAGATTACCCCCATGTTTGCCCGAAGATTTCGATACCAGATTATTTGCCTGGCACAATGAGTGCACCATTTGTCAATAACCTTATCACAAATTAAAATGAGTATCTATCCATTTCATCTACTGATCCAGAAACGATTATTTGAGGTCATATGAAGATCCCAAATTCACATATCTTACTTCTTTATATATCTCACCTCATTTCAAAGTCAAATGACAGTAACGATGCCGAAGAAATTCTTGTCATATATTTTTCAAAGGAAAATAATCCAAACTCTCGATATATAGTAACGCCTTATACTTATAAAAACTGGATAAATGACTTCCAATGTGTACTACATATACATGTACACCCACCCCCACCCCCATCCATCTCCCCACCCTTACCGCCAATTCTCTACCCAATCCCTACCCCTTCAGACACAAATAATATCAGCGCGTAATCAAATAAAAATCAGGAAGATATATTCTGGTTTTAATTATTTTTTAAAAGCTTAGAAATATAGTCCTTGGTGTCTTATTGCGATGAAAACGATTCTGCTTCTTAATTTACAAAGATCTCTGCCGATAATTTCTTGGTGAGATATTGTTCCTACTTTCGTTAATCGATTTAAATACCGCCTTTGGTTGCTATTTTTTCATTATAGCCCTCCCTATATGTGTTTAGATTGGACAGGGAACACATGAACACTCGTGCCGATAAGACATGTACACAATATGAATTAGGTGGTAAACACGCCCCGCCGACCAGATCGATTGGTAATGTACATACTAGCATGGCTCAATGTTAATATACAACCCGATTTGACAAAGTTATTGGTTTTACGCTATTGCAAACAGCATAATCTATTTAGATATGTACGACATATACTTTACACAGAGATTGAGATAAGAAGGACAAATACACTTTCCTTTGCCAAATTCGTTTAACTTGGCATGCTCTCCTCAATGACTAATCAAAATCGAAAGTTTACATATCAACTACATGTATATGTAAACTTAAATGTACATCATCTTATATACACAAGTGTATACTTGAATTCGTCAGATTATTCTGAGCAATATCAACGTGTTCAGTCTGTACATGTTGGACATACAATGAGAAATAAACACATATGTGTACTAAATAAACGTAAGATTGAATTTATACACGTGTGGTACCTAATGTACGGAGGTTTAAGTTATATACGCGTGTGTACACGTAATGTAAGATTTAGCAATATACACGTGTGATACCTAATGTACGGAGGGTCAAGTTATAAACACGTGTGTACACGTAATGTAACATTGAGCAATATACACGTGGGTGTACCTAATGTATGTATTGTCGGTTATGTACACGTGTGTTTACCTAATGTATGTATGGTTGTACACGTAATGTAAGATTGGGCAATATACACGTGTGGTACCTAATGTACGGAGTTTTAAGTTATATACACATGTGTACACGTAATGTAAGATTGTGCAATATACACATGTGGTACCTAATGTACGGAGGTTTAAGTTATATACACGTGTTTACACGTAATGTAAGATTGAGCAATATACCCGTGTGTGTACCTAATGTACGGAGTTTTAAGTTATATACACATGTGTACACGAAATGTAAGATTGTGCAATATACACATGTGGTACCTAATGTACGGAGGTTTAAGTTATATACACGTGTTTACACGTAATGTAAGATTGAGCAATATACACATGTGGTACCTAATGTACGAAGGTTTAAGTTATATACACGTGTGTACACGTAGTGTAAGATTGAGCAATATACACGTGTGTGTACCTAATGTACAGAGTTTTAAGTTATATACACGTGTGTACACGTAGTGTAAGATTGAGCAATATACACGTGTGTGTACCTAATGTACAGAGTTTTAAGTTATATACACGTGTGTACACATAATGTAAGATTGAGCAATATACACATGTGTGTACCTAATGTACGGAGTTTTAAGTTATATACACATGTGTACACGTAATGTAAGATTGAGCAATATACACGTGTGTGTACCTAATGTACGTAAGATTGGGTTACATACACGTGTGTGCGACCTAATGTATGTAAAATTGAAGTGTATACACGTGTGTGTACCTAATGTACGTAATATTTAGTTATATACACGTGTGTGTAACTAATGTTTGTAAGAATGAGTTATATACACGTGTGTGTACTTTATGTACGTAAAATTGAGTTATATACACGTGTGTGTGTACCTTATGTTCGTAAGTTGGAGCTATATACATGTGTGTGTACCAAATGTATGTAAGGTTTAGTTATATGCACGTGTGTGGACCTAATGTACGTAAAATGTATTTATGTACACGTGCGTGTACCTAATGTATGTATGGTTGAGTTATGTACACGTGTGTGCACCTAATGGTTGTATGGTTGGGTTATGTACACGTGTGTGTGTGTACCTTATGTTCGTAAGTTGGAGCTATATACATGTGTGTGTACCAAATGTATGTAAGCTTTAGTTATATGCACGTGTGTGGACCTAATGTACGTAAAATGTATTTATGTACACGTGCGTGTACCTAATGTATGTATGGTTGAGTTATGTACACGTGTTATGTACACGTGTGTGTACCTAATGTATGTATTGTTGCGTTATGTACACGTGTGTGTACCTAATGTATGTATGGTTGAGTTATGTACACGTGTGTGTACCTAATGTATGTAATATTGAGTTTTGTACACGTGTGTGTACCTAATGGTTGTATGGTTGGGTTATGTACACGTGTGTGTGTACCTTATGTTCGTAAGTTGGAGCTATATACATGTGTGTGTACCTAATGTATGTAAGGTTTAGTTATATGCACGTGTGTGTACCTAATGTACGTAAAATCTATTTATGTACACGTGTGTGTCTCTAATGTATGTATGGTTGAGTTATGTACACGTGTTTGTACCTAATGTATGTAAGATTGAGTAATGTACACGTGTGTGTACCTAATGTATGTAAGATTGAGTTATGTACACGAGTGTGTACCTAATGTATGTAAGATTGAGTTATGTACACGAGTGTGTACCTAATGTATGTAAGATTGAGTTATGTACACGTGTGTGGACCTAATGTATGTATGGTTGAGTTATGTACACGTGTGTGTACCTAATGGTTGTATGGTTGGGTTATGTACACGTGTGTGTGTGTACCTTATGTTCGTAAGTTGGAGCTATATACCTGTGTGTGTACCTAATGTATGTAAGGTTTAGTTATATGCACGTGTGTGTACCTAATGTACGTAAAATTTATTTATGTACACGTGCGTGTACCTAATGTATGTATGGTTGAGTTATGTATACGTGTGTGTACCTAATGGTTGTATGGTTGGGTTATGTACACTTGTGTGTGTACCTTATGTTCGTAAGTTGGAGCTATATACATGTGTGTGTACCTAATGTATGTAAGGTTTAGTTATGTACACGTGTGTGTACCTAATGTATGTATTGTTGGGTTATGTGCACGTGTGTGTACCTAATGTATGTAAAAATTGAAGTGGTCACGTGTGTGTACCTAATGTATGTATGGTTAGGTTATGTACACGTGTGTGTACCTAATGTATGTATTGTTGGGTTATGTAAACGTGTGTGCGACCTAATGTATGTAAGATTGAGTTATGTACACGTGTGTGTACCTAATGTATGTAAGATTGAGTTATGTACACGTGTGTGTAACTAATGTTTGTAAGAATGAGTTATATACACGTGTGTGTACTTTATGTACGTAAAATTGAGTTACATACACGTGTGTGTGTACCTTATGTTCGTAAGTTGGAGCTATATACATGTGTGTGTACCTAATGTATGTAAGGTTTAGTTATATGCACGTGTGTGTACCTAATGTACGTAAAATGTATTTATGTACACGTGCGTGTACCTAATGTTTGTATGGTTGAGTTATGTACACGTGTGTGTACCTAATGTATGTATTGTTCGGTTATGTACACGTGGGTGTACCTAATGTATGTAAGATTGAGTTATGTACACGTGTGTGTACCTAATGTATGTAAGATTGAGTTATGTGCACGTGTGTGTACCTTATGTATGTAAGATTGAGTTATATACACGTGTGTGTACCTAATGTATGTATTGTTGGGTTATGTACACGTGTGTGTACCTAATGTATGTAAGATTGAGTTATGTACACGTGTGTGTACCTAATGGATGTATTGTTGGGTTATGTACATGTGTGTGTACCTAATGTATGTATTGTTGGGTTATGTACACGTGTATGTACCTAATGTATGTAAGATTGAGTTATGTACACGTGTGTGTACCTAATGAATGTAAGATTGAGTTATGTACACGTGTGTGTACCTAATGTATGGATGGTTGAGTTATGTACACGTGTGTGTGTACCTTATGTACGCAAGTTATTGCCGTTCATGCGTTTATATGTTAATGTTATCTATATCACATTGAGTACAACTGTACATATGTACATGGGAAGGCAAACAAACAGATTGACCGCTAGATACCACTACCATCCACATGATAGCATTATGTACATGTTCTCCCAAGACAACAATAGTCGACTACACATGTACATGGTTATCTCAAGATGGCACTTCTATAAATATCACGAAGCACTATAACAAAAGTTTTCCACAAGAAAACACTATTACAAAGGTTCACCACAAGGTGGCACTACCGCTTAAGTTCACCACAAAATGGCACTATCATACAGGATCGCCGAAGATAGCACTACCTTACATGTTACCTCAAGATGACACTTGAACAAGATTCACCACAAGGTGGCACTACAATGAAAGTTCACCACAAGGTGGCACTATCATAAAAGTTTACCACAAGGTGGCACTACAATTAAAGTTCACCACAAGGTGGCACTACAATAAAAATTCATCAGAAGGTGGCACTA